ACCCACTCCAGTATACTTGCCTGGGAAATCCCATGGACAGAGGAGCCAGGTGGGCTACAGCCCATGGGGTCACAAAGAGTCGGGCACAACTGAGTGACTAAATAATACAAATCCATACCCAGAAGGTGTGTCTTTTTTCCAGCACAAATGAATTTCTGCCCACTTTATGATGGTCAATATAATCAACCTACTACTCATCAGCTGACTGGCCTGGCCCCCTGGGGAATAGGGGCACTAACTCAGTTAGTGGTTGTTTATTTTTTTATTTTTTAAATTATTTTTGGCTGCTCTGGGTCTTTGTTGCTGTGTGCAGGCTTTCTCTACTTGCAGTGAGCTGGGGCTACACTCTCATGTCATTGTGCAGGCTTCTCATTGCAGTAGCTTTTCTTGCTCTGCAGTAGAGCAAGAGCTCTAGGGTGCCCCGGCTGCAGTAGCTGTGTGACTTAGTTGCCCTATAGCATGTAGGATCTTAGTTCCCCAATCAGGCATCGAACCCACCATGTCCCCTGAACTGGCAGGCAGATTCTTAATAACAGGACCACCAGGGAAGTCCCAGTGTCTGAGTTTTCATGAATGTTCCTGCTCCTGGTAGATTAGGCTCTCAGCAGAAGCATTAGCCAGATCAGCCTTGGTAAGGAAAAATCCAGCCTGTTGAGGCCCTGCATGGTGTCCGTCCTCCATCATACCCACTATTCTTCATGGCCCCATTGGCAAGCACTGGCATGGCTGGCAAAAGAGGCTAACTGACATCCACAGAGCATGTCATTCAACCCACCTGATTATTAGGCACCTCCATGTAGTAAATGTTATGGTGAACACTTGTATGGGCCACAGATACCTTCACTATTTGTGCCCATCTAGAGAGGATTCAGAATATTAAATAAGAAAAAGAAAATAGAGAAAAGAGAGCCAGGAAATGAAAGATAGTAAGTTCAGTTTGGGGTATGCTAAGTTTGAGACTCCTGTAGGGCTTACAGGTAGAAAAGGGTGCTTCTGGAACTCGGGAGATCCTGGGATATACAAATTTTGCTGCCTGTGATGTAGAGGTAATAGCAGAAACCACAGTTGGTGATGAAAATAATCAGGGATAGTGTTAAATTTGAATAATTTGAGGACAGGACTTGGCAGAACATCTGGGGTGAACTGTCAAAGAGAAGCACTGAAAAGGAGAGGCCAAGTGAAGAAAACCTGGGGAGACAGCAGTCCCAGGAAGGCAGAGGAGAAAATGTTCCCCAAAGCAGGAGTAATCAACAACTGTTACATATTATGGAGAGAGAGAAAAAAAAAGACACAGGCAGTAAAATTCCATCTGATTTGGCAAACAGGAAATCACTGATATCAGTAAAGAAAATAGTTTCAGGGGAATTGTGGGAACAGAAGACAGATTCACAAAAAGGTTCACAAATGAATACAAGGCAAAGTAGCCAAATTAGAGAATGCTGCTCATTCATTCAATTATAAGCTACAGAATGAGGTAGAAAAGAGCTCTACATAGCGTTTCTATATCAGAATTTAAAAGAGGACAGAATTTTGAGGAGTCTTTCAGATAAGAAAGCTTGAACATCTCACAAAATGTAAGGGAAAACACTTATGCAAAAGGAAGTTGCAGGGCCAAAAGAAAGGTGAGTTTATGAGTAAGCAATATCCCACAAGAAGGTTGGGATCAATAACTCAATCTCTAAGATCAAAGCGGTGGGGTAGGAATGGAAGGGGAGAAAAACAGAGGTGAATTTGTAGAAGGTAGAAAAGGAAGTTGAGCTAGTTATCTTCCCTCAATTTGACTTTCAGATTACAAAGCAAAATCTTCTGATGACAGAAAAGTTTGAGTTGAACAGAACTGAAGAAAAATTACAATTTTAAAAGAGCAATAATGAGGAAGGGAGAGGGAAAACAAGAGAGATATCTAATTGCTCAAATTTCATTTCCTCCTTGAAGCCTTCTCTGTCTGTTCCCCTGAGAATAAATATATTATGAATAAGGTACTTCTTTAGCAATTAAAGTTAGAAGTTTCTTTTTAAACCCCCTATTCTACAGCTCTTACATGGCACTTGTCATTTTTTGTTATACAGTTATTCATCTTTTCACATGTGCTTCAAGAATTAACTTGCAATTCTTTAAAAAAAGGAATGCTGTTTCTTTGTATGTCTCCTAGCATCTAAACACTAAAGTAGGTACATATTAACCCAGAGTTTTAGTAACCATTCCTGTACAACAAAGCATCCTGAACACACTGAGGTAAAAGCAACAATTTTTTCTAATTGCTATCTCTCAAGGTAGGTTCTGAGAGTCAAGAGTGGCTTGGGGATCTCTCCCGGGGTTGCAGCAGGAAACATCTGGGGCAGTCTCCCCAAGTGTCTGGAAGTTGATGTTGGCTATTGGTTGGGACCCGGCCAGGGTAATGGCCAGAACACCCATACACGGCTTCTCCAAGTGGCTTGGGCTTCCTCAGGGGATGGTGGCTGGGTTCCAAGAGGAAGTGTCCTGAGAAAGAGAGCCAGGGGGATGCTGTATCTCCTTTCATGGCCTAGCCTTGAAGTCACACAGTATTATTCCGCCACATTCTATTTATTAGTATTAAGTCACTAAGGCCAGCCTATATTCAGATGAGAGGAATTTAGACTCCACTTCTTTTTTTAACTTATTTATATTTATTTTAGGCTATGCTGGGTCTGTGTGCAGAGCTCGGGCTCTAGGGCATGTGAGCTTCTTTAGTTGGGCCTCATGCGCTGAACAGTTGAAGCTCGAGGGCTCTAGAATGCAGGATCAGTAGCTGTGGTCCACAGGCTTAGCTGCCCCGAGGCATATAGAAATTTTGAGGACCAGGGATTGAAACTGTGTCCCCTGAATTGGCAGGAGGATTTTTTTTTTTTTTTAAATATTGTGACAAAGCTAGGCTGCTATTTTTCCCAACCTGTGACTGAAGTTCCTGACCCATCTTGTCTCAGACCCAGACTCCCTTGGCCTGGCTGAGAATAAATGCCTGCGTCTTTTCTAAGTCAGTTTTCCCAGCACACCCCATGTTGTTGTTAAGAAAAATGACGAGAGCTTCACCTTCCTGTCCAAGCTTGAACCCAGTCCTTCCTAGGACTGGTAGGAGGATTCTTAACCACTGAACCAAGAAGTCCCTAGACTCCACTTCTTGATGACAGAAGTATCAAAGAATATGCATATACGACATATAGTAAGTGTTAATTAGATGCTCATTTAAGCATTCAAGGGCTTCCCTGGTGGTTCAGATGGTAAAGGATCTGCCTGCAAGGCAGGAGACCAGGGTTTGATCCCTCGGTCAGGAAGATCCCTTGAAGAAGGGAATGGCTAACCACTCTAGTATTCTTGCCTGGAGAACTCTATAAACAGAGGAGCCTGGCGGGCTACAGTCCATGGGGTCACAAAGAGTTGGACAGGACTGAGCGACTAACACTCTCACACTTTAAGCATTAAAATATAAGAATGAGAGTGGGTAGTCTTAAAAGTCTAAATAGGAGTTAAAAATAATGCTATAAAGTCAATTCACCCATAAAATATGCTACCCATGCTCTCTGTTCTACAAATGACTATTCACAATCATTTTATAATCTCCTTTTCAGGAGATAAAACTGAGCTAGTTAGTAGAAGGTGTAGATCAGTGCTTCTCCTACTTGTGTGTGTGTGTGTGTGTGTGTGTGTGTGTATTACCTGGGGATCAGGTAAAATGCAGACTCTGCTACCGCAGGTCCAGAGTAGGGTCTGACATTCTGCATTTCTAGGGAGCTCCAGAGTGATGCTGTAGCCCCACAGATCACCTACTGAATAGCAGACTAGTAGAAAAGAAGTAGCAAAGGTGGCTGCCTGGCTCCTGTGATCTCTCCCTCCTCTAGGATGAACGCTAATAGACGTTCGTCTAAACAGGCGTCTGCGGCCAGAGGTCCCTATGTATTTTCAGGACCTTGACTCTCCAGTCAAGTGAACCCTTGATGCCAACAATGTTAATCAGTTCTTTCCCAAGACTATTAGAACTAGAAATAAAGAAAGGGAGTAACTTTTTTCTTTTTTGTGGTAAAGCACAGTACGTGTGACTCTGGAGTCACCAGTTATGTGAGAAAACCAGAAGGAAACAGGCTGAGAAGAGAATCCAGGAACATGGCAGCCCTTGGTGAGGCTCACGCCAGACCCCATTCTCACAAGCTTGTGAGATAGCCTTATATCCCTCCAGCAAATTCCCCTTTCAGCCTATATTTGTTCTAGTTGGTTTTTCCTCATTTGAAACTTTAAAAATTATAAACTGGGTGTGGGGAGAAGAGGAGGTATTTTCCCGGAAATGCAGTGGCTGCTGTGATGGAGGAATAAAGAGGAATTCAGATGGAGTTATTATCTGGACATTAGGACCTGGGGTGAGGCTAGACTGTCCATCAATCATGCTAAAGATATGTTTACAACAGAGTGGATAAGCTACAGAGAGAGAAGATAACAAAAAGCTAAGGCTGAGGGAAGATGGAGAAAAGCCTCAACCTCTCGAAAACGGGAGGAAAAGTGAAAAGGCAGGCAAGAGCGCCTGTGGATTGAAAGTGTTGAACAGCACTGAAAGTGGAAAGGAACTGTTACCTCAAGATGACATCTGCTGAAAACCGAAGTGAACAGGACAGCCCAGAACACCAAGGCTAACGGTTCTTTAAAGAATGATACCTGGGCCGAGTAGAGGTTAAAAACAAGAGTGAGGTAGAGCCCTGCACCAAGGAGCAAAATGCTGAATCTCTCATATATGCCTGGTATTGTACAAGGGGCTTTACATTTATGATCCTATTAAATGACCCCTAAGGAAATGATCTACATTGTTCTGGCCAGCTGTCCCTGAGATCCTAGCACAGTCAGAGCTGGCACTTCCACTATCAGTAGAGGGTCATATCATATGAGCTGCAGCCAGTAAACGCTGACTGGGTGTACACCTCAGGTGAATCTGAAAGCCCTCTGAAGTCTCTGAGGCTGCAAGCACCACAAGTGAAACAAAAATGACAGTGACCACCTTTCCAAGTTTAGTGTAAATGAATTTTTAATAATGGGTTTCTTGATCACACCTTCATCTATATCAATCCCATTAAAGGGTGTACTCAGATAAACTGCATCAAATGTTTTACAGCATACGTTCAAAACAGCAGAAAAGGGGAAAAGGATACTGGCTAAGGTGTATGGTCCCAGGTGGCACTGGTGGTAAAGAACCCGCCTGCCAATGCAGGAGACATAAGAGGGTTCAATTTCTGGTATACTTGCCTCGAGAATTCCATGGACACAGGAGCCTGGTGGTCTGCAGTGCATGGGGTCATAAAGAGTTGGACATGACTGAAGCAACTTAGCACATACTGTCTATGAACTAAAAGACTTTCATATTTCGGTAGCAGGTACACACACAGGTATATGCACTCAGGCAGGAAATGTGACAATGAAGTAATGGAGCTGATTCCATAAAGTAAAATGGAGACTGATCTCATTTTATTGTTATATCTTGTGGTATGTTTATAAAATATTTCTTTCATAAGTTAAAATAGTATCTGCTATAGATGAATTTAATTTTGGTAAACTCAATGAAAAAAAATTTTTATGCTAATATAACATTTATTGTAAAGATTCCAGAAACGCACAAGTCAAAATTTCAAATTATGATTCCCACAGTAACAGTAACTCTGCTGTACAACATACATAATGGAAGAAATGATATCAACATATACCACAGTGGAAAATACTCAGTAAGCAGAAACAAGCTGAGTTATGCTTGTTGTGGGAATCATCATTTTCAACTAGCTTAGGATATATAAAAATGGAAACTATAAATGCATGCATTATTTTTTGTACTTAATTCCAATTTTTCTTGATCCAATTTAATCAGATTTGCATCCAAGCTACATTTCTCTTTCATAAACTGCAAGTAAATGTTTTTCATAATTTTAAAATCCACATCATTTGGTTTCTTTTTCTCAAGCAGGCTGCCTTTAAACAGCATCATTATATGCTGTCCCTCCCCAAAAAGGTCAGGACAAGTCTGTTGGGATCCATTTATCTACAGTATCCTTGTCTCCCTGAAGGGCACTGTAGGGAAAGAGAGAAAAAATACAAAAGAGAACAGGAATAACACTGAGTAGCTTAGAAAGGTAAATAAGTACAACAGAAAAAGGGACCCTGGCACCATTAACTTCCCCCTTGGTATCTTCCTAACCAGAAATATGAAAAATAACACCAGCAAATATTTACAGTTTCCAAAGGGTTTAGTCATATCATTAGCTCATCTGATCCTCACTACAACACTGTGAGAAAGGCAAAGGGAAAACACCTTTCAGTTGCTCAGCTCTTTGTGACTCGAGGAGAATATATTTAAGGATGTGCTTTTATGTTATCAGTTAAAGTCTGGGCCATTTAATTACACTTATGGTATTACCCACTTAACATATGCAGAGGATTTACTTATTATTGAAGGCAGAATATACTTTACATAAAAAGATTATGGTTATGAGCTAAGCATTTAACATATTTCAAGCTTTTTGCTTTAACTGTATTCTGACAATTCAGTAATGAAACAGAAAGAAATAACTGCCCTTTGAAATTTGTCTGGAATACAATTGATCTCGTATATTATATCCAGTATTACTTCTCCCAGTTTGGTTTTAACTAAGAAAGGCACCTTCTCCAATCTCTGAAGAGGAATCCTTTTACTTTCTGGTAGGCTTTACCATCAGGGTATGTTTCATTATATTCAAACTAAATTACTTTGGCTCAAGAACAATCATATTTCCTTTACTAATCTAAGTAGCTTACCCCTTCCAACCATAGTGTTCATGACCTTGTGCAAGTGTTTAGAGGATAACACAGTCAACCTTTGTCTCATAGAACTATTAAAATTCAGCTATTTGAATTTAAGTTTGCTTTTCTTTCTATGTACAAAAAGATGCTTTTCCATATAATCAGATAAAATTTTTCCTTCTTCATTTACCTCCTGTACCAGTAAAAAGATCCATTAAAATGAAGATTCAGAACTTGCAAAAAGCTTCAATACCATTTGTTCTAACCTGAGAGATAACACAGTTAATCCTTTGCCTGTGAAAAGAATGATCATTTTGCATATAATTAAAAGGTAATATTTTAAGTGCTAAAAGGAAAACAGAATCTAAGGAATATTAGCTTTAAGAGGTCTTATTGTAGAGGAAGAGTTGTCTTCTGAATGTTTCCTATAATTACAAAACATATCTTCATAGTGACTTTAAGATTAACACAAAGTTCCTAGAAAAAAACAGATAAAATATAAAAATGTGTCCCAGGGACATGAATACTCAACTTTCAGGATTTTTTTCTCCCCCTCATACATGAAGAAACAAATCTGGGCCTGAGAGCAAAGCACAATCTCAATACCATTTCCTGTTACGACTGGCAAGATGAAAAAGTCAGTGTGGGGATAGGAGCCTTGCATCATCAGAGACCAGACAAGAGGCTTACTGTCTTACACGATGCATCAGTCACACACAAGGACACGGCCACAAGCACAAATTTTTCCTATAGTCTATCCACCTTATGGGACCGTCCAGAAAAAAGTGCAGACCCAGCCCCTGCGCAAGGTTTACCTTAAACAGAATGAAGCAATATCTTTTTCAGTGAGGAAACCGAAGAGGAGGTGATCAATTCTAGAGGATCACAGAATGCTTAGAAACAAAAAATGATGGGATTTGTTTCTCTTGAGCAGTCAATATGTGACATTTCTAAAGATCTTAAATTTTCCAGATAAACTGACAGTAAATAAAGCCCTGGGGACTGTCAGTACCACAGATTAAAAAACTAATTTTTCACATTACAATTTTAGCTGTAGAATTCTAGCTAAATAGCTGATAAATAAAATATTAACACATGAAAGTGTCAGTCACTTGGTCATGTCTGACCCTTAGCAAAACCACGAACTACAGCCCACCACACTCCTCTGTCCATGGAATTCTCCAGTCAAGAATGCTGGAGTGAGTTGCCATTCCCTTTTCCAGGGGATCTTCCCAACCCAGGGATCGAACCTGGGTCTCCTGCATGGCATGCAGATTCTTTACTATCTGAGCCACCAGAGAAGTCCATATTAACACATCAAAGAATGAACCAGAAGAAAATTTGGGGAACAAAGTAAGTAGTCTAATTATAGAAAAATATTAAACAAATTACTGTACATTCATAAAATTGATGGTACATAGCCATTCACAATGTGTCCTTGAAGAATGTCCAAGGAGAGGCAAATGGTTGACAATACACTGCAAAATGACAACTGACAAAATCTTCTATATGATGTCTATTTTGGAAAAAAATATGAAAAAGACTAGGAGAATATACATAAAAATATTAACAGAGGATACCCCTGCTAGCGAGAATTTAATGTCTTCACATTTTTTTCCTTTCCAAATGAAAGGGGATTAAACAAGGGGAAATTCTTATTTTCAGAAAGAGTCAGTGAGAATACTGTGATCTCTTTATCCCAATATTTTAATAACACACAAAATGAAAAACTGAAATATATTTAGTGCCATTTAGCACTTGCATTAACAATAATTTTTCTTTAAGTTATAAAAACAATAGCTCATTCAAATTTACAGTTTGCTTATACTTTCTGCCAAGTCACACAAGAACAATGTATTTTTGAAAATATATTGACATGAACTTATATCCAATGTTGTAGCCTTTCATGCAATCTTCATACATCACCACATTTAGAAAATGAACTTCATATGCTTGATTCCATAAGTTTTGAAGAAAACCATGATAATGAGTGCCCACAATCCCAGAATAAAACCTCCAGGAGGATGCCAATCCTTCAGCTTTGGTTTCTGCAAAACAAGAATGACATTATAAATTTAACAATCGATAAAGACTGACAGAAAATAGATTCACAGAGTGTACTTTTAAGGGGTAGTAAGGTAGATTAAATTAAATGTACTGTTAGCCTTCCCTATCTGCAGGTTCCACACACACAAACATGTCCTGTATGTTTCTTTGTCCAGCACAGAAAGGCAGAACAGCCTTCCCCATTTAGTTGTCATTTCACCAGCTACATTATGATCCTGAAATTGGAGGTCTGTGACTACTGTCCCTTTATGAGTTATAGTAATACTTCCCGGATTATGAGCCAAGATTGTAAGGATAGTTATGAGAATCCTATTCTAGGATGGATTAAAGTGAAAAACTGCAATCTGAAATTTGCTTTAGTCACCATGTAAACTAGATCCCAGAAAGACTCATAAATCTTTTAGTGGTTTCCACATCTTATATTTTGTTTTTTCCCCTACATAACCAGGACACCTAATGCTCTCCACATAATCTTCAAATTATCACATGGAAAAATAAAAAAGAAAGGAAAGAAGGAAGGAAGGAAGGAAGAGAGGGAAGGAGGGAAAGAGGAAGGGAGGGAAAAAAATTACACAAGTCAAATCTACCAGAAATCAGTAAGGACCATGCCACTAATTCACTGCCATGATTCTTATAAATTTATGTTTATTATACATCCTTTAAAATATTTAATAATTACCTAACATATTCAAGACTATACACTCACTGAAAATATTCCAAAGGATATTTTGATAGAAATTCTATTTTCTTTTAATTTTATAAATGGAGAAGTTATTTATGCAAATGTCTGATTTTCAATTAGGTGATCCTTTTCTTTTTTTTTTTACAAAGGAAATTAATTACTATATTGAAGTTGTAGTTATCAAAACTTTAAAAAACCAAATTTTGATAAAGTAACATGTAATTTTTAAATTAAAATGTTGCAGATAATAATTTCAAAGTCAAGCTGAGAATAAATAATACTTTAAGAAATTTGCAACAACTGTAATGTGATATAAAAAAATCAATAATTTCTTTTTTTTCCTTTTGATGAGAACTCTTAGAATTTACTCTATAAATTCTACATACAATATAAGGCAGTGTTAATTACATTAATCCTATTGCACACAACACATCTAGTACTTTTTAAAATTAATTTATCTTAATTACAGGATAATTACTTTACAAAATTGTGATGGTTTTTGTCATACATCAACATTATGATAAGCTCAGTGGTTCTCAAACAATTTCAGATGGTTTGTAAGCTCTTGGAACATTGTGCAACACTGAAAAATCTTAATTTAATTTCAGTGGAAAATCTATAGTAATTAATATAAAACACAGTTATAATAAAGGTAGGCATATAAGTATCATAAGCATGTGACATGAAGAAATGAGTGAACTAAATAAACATGATTAACTATTGCTCAGTTTCTGTCCTGTTTATTCTCTAATAGTCAAACATTGGTCACTCTTGCCAAGTGGATGAACAAGTTTAAGATCAAAAATTATATTTCCACAACTGGGAAATGATTTTCTAGTAAAGAGCTATTAACTAAAAAAAAAAAATTTATTATTAGTGGAAGCACACCTTTATACAGTAGTCAGAGGATGCTCGCTGAGAATCCACTTTAAAGAGTATTGACTTGGTTGAGGAAGTATGATTCAGATTTTCCCCAGTAACTAGGAGTCTGATTTATATAGTATTTGAAAATACACACACACACACACACACACACACACACACAGGTTATTAGGTTATCACTTTCAAAAAGCTAAATAAATATTATCAAAATCTGGCATTAAGCTATGAATTGTAGAAGAACAGGTTATAATATAGACAATTGTTCTATAAACTAATGAATTTCGGTGCTAAATAGTCAGGAGATATGAACCCTCACGAGTTCAAGAGCACCTAAAACTTTCAGGTAGTGTTTAAACCAAGTCATGTAAGAAAATACTGAACATCATTTAGGCACTATGATTCATTACAAATTCCTGAAATAAATAATCAAGTAGTTAACAGCAAATCTTACTTCTGCACCTGTAGGAATTCTAGTTACTTTTCAATGAGATGGATTGCCCGAGGTTGTGATTTTACTGTTACATCTTAAACTCAGAAGCCAGAAACAGTTGCCTGAGAAAAGACAACTGTAGCTTCCCAGGTGGCGCTTGTGGTAAAGAGCCTGCCTGCCAATGCAGGAGACATAAGAGACTCAGGTTCGATCCTGGGCTGGGAAGATTCCCGGGAGAAGGAAATGGCAACCCACTCCAGTATTCTTGCCTGAAGAATCCCAGGGACAGAGGAGCCTGGTGGGCTACAGTCCATGGGTTGCAAAGAGTTGGACACAACTGAAGTGACTTAGCACGTTAACTTCTTTAGAAGTAACTACCATTTCTCCAAAGATTGGTCCCGATAGTTATTTCAATCTGTTATTTTAAAAACTGTTTCAGAGAATGCTGGAGGTACTGCTTCCTGATCCTTCAACTAAATATGTCCCACATTTAGACCACTGATGCCCAGGAGAGGACAAGAGGAGAAAGCCAAGTGCTAGAGCTGTGGTTTGTCAATGGCGAACTCTGAAGGCAATAATGGAGGACCAAGAAGTGTATGCTATTACTCCAGAAGTATTATGGAATGGTATATTTATTCACATTACAACACTGTACAAGCTAACAAAAGTAGCAAATCTCAGCCTTTCAAAACTACTATTTGCAGTGGCTCTATTTTTCATTGTATATTCATTACATATATTTGACTAACAAAAAATGGAAAATGAATTATTAATTAAATACAGTGTGGACTCTTAGCATGACATCTGTGAAGAATCCTGCTAGTGCAGCTGCTCCCATCTTCTCAGGAAAGGCACATAAAAAGGCATAGAAAGAGACAAGTGCACTCTCTACTACAATTAACTTAATCTCTGATGAGAAACCTCAGACAATTTCACTATCTGTAAGTCTAGAAACCAGATCTAGAAACAAATTAATGGTGGCCCAGCTTTCTGAATAGTACACAGGATGCAAAAGATTGCTATGTTCTGTGAAATACGTAATTCTGTCAGCTGAGAAAGGGATTTTAGCTCTCTCCCTCTTTCTGCCTGCTGTTTAAGAGAAACAGTGTTGCCATAGAAGGTGACTTTATGAGGCAGCCAGAGTAGTGCAACTCTTCCCCAACCAATTAATAGCATACTTCTTTCTCCATCTATTTAAATATAATTCCCAGTAAAGAGCATATCAGAAGGTAGCGGGCACTGACAATGGTTTACTGCATCCAAGAAGGCTCAACATCCAAACAAAAATCTCTGCAAAGAAGGGAAAATACAGGAAAAATCCTTTCAATAATATATGTTAAGAAACAGTGTTTTTTCCACATACTTCATCTTTTTAAAGTGTCCAAAACCCAGGCACACCCAGCACCGCAGCAGATGACCCTAGTTTAGTTTACCAAAACCACATCTGATGACTGGCCACCAGTCACTGGGAAATGTTGAACTATTCTTCAGATACAGATCTGAAAGGATCCAAATCTAAGTAGATGGTGAGAAACATCCACACGCTCTGATGGGAGATACTGACAGTATTCTAAAGAAAAAAGCAAAAACCAAGGTGAGGTCCATGAGTAAAAACACTCCAACATATGAAGAAGAAATTTCCGAAGACACAAAGAACATATCTCTGAACAGATTTCAGAAAGAACAAAAGAATAATTTTAAAAAGATTTTGACATGGATTTGAATAAAAATGCACAATAGGCCAAAACCAAATGAATAGCATAAAGAAAAAATAATACAAGACACAGGGACAAAATGTTGAGGTAAAAAGGAAGCTGTAAGATGGTGTCCCAAGCACCTCTCTGAGTCCTTTATCCACCGAATTGTGGTAGACTAATCACGGGGAAAAAAGGTCCTAATTCCCCCTACTTCCTTCTCTGTGTTCATACACTTTGAATATATTGCTTTATCACAGTTCTCATCAAGAGGTATACTCTATGTCCTTCTTCCATGAATCAGTTGGCCGTGGGACTTCTTTTTGCCAAGAGAAAGGAACATAAGCAACAGTGTCCTAATTCCATGCTAGCCTCAAGAGGCTTTCTTTGCCTGCTTCTGCTCTCTCTTAGACCTCTGCTACCACCATGAGAAACAAACCTAGGCAAGGCTTCTGGAGGTAAAAAAGACATCAGATGGTGAGGAACTCAAGTCCTCCAGGCAGCAATCAGCCATCTCCCAGATGCAGAATTGCCTAATCAAGACAAGGTTGACCAGAGACTCATGAAGGTGCCCAGCTAAGAATAGAACTGCTTAGCTAAACTCAGCCTGAATCACTACCCTGAAGACTTACGAGTCAAATAAATAATTGAAGTTTTAAGCCATTAACTTTTGGAGTGGCTTATTATTCATCAAAAGCTATGAAATACATCCACTGAGATGACCATTAATATAGAAGGAAAAATCCTGATCCTTTATTATCACAAGAAAATAAAGTTCTCAACTACATGCTTTCCAAGTCTCCGCAACAATGGTATATATAAAAACAGCATGAGGTGAGGGAGGTCTGTCAAGAGAACCCCCTTGATGCATTCCAGAACAAGAAATTCAGCCCCATTCCACTCATCTGATCTAAACTTCACTAAGTAAGGACTTCAGCAAACACCTGTTTCGCCTGAACAGTGTGTAGAGCCGACTCTGTAGAAGTCATGCTACAATGTCTTCCAGAGCTAAGTTTCGTGAATGTTCTTCGCCCCGTACCCCTCACTTTAAGGGAGCTGCAGTTATGCTCACTCTTAGCTCTTCCTTGTAGTCCTCCTGGGAAGAGACTGACTCCACCTGTCACCATGCTGGGAACTGCTCCCAAGGAAATAAAGTGGGGGAATCTAGAGACTAACTCATCCCACTTCTCTCTAACCCTCCTCCTCCCAACTACAATCTCTAGCTCAAGTCTTGTTCCTTTCCTTTTGAAGTTAGTTAGCAATTCATACTCATTGGATATTGCCCCCCACCCA